GATTACGAAATCATAGACGGTTTTTATGTGATTAGATCAAATTGGCGGTAATAATTTTTAAAGCGAAAAAGTTTACCAATCTATGAAGTACTTTAGCGGCAATCTTCCTCTACAAGCCACTGTTCTTTTTATTAGATCAATTTTCTCGAAGAGCACAGATGGTGCTTTGTTGTATTGTCCTGCTATCTCACAACATGAAGTCAATGGGTTTGAACATATACACAATATTGTGGAGAACATCTGATCGGTAATTGTATGATATATAATAATTTAATTTTCCATAAGTATACGAAAACCTCCTTGCCAAAATTGAATTTTAAAAAATAATGCAGACCATTGACGTATAAATTAAACTTGAACGAACCATTCCCAATATTAAAAGATTTCCTAAAAAAGAACGAATTACAAAACTTCTGAAACGTTGCACTACAACTGTATTATTTGCGGAAAATTCGTAAACCAAATACCCAGATGCCTTAACAATTAATGCACTGTTTACAAGTCATTGAACTACTAATCATTACAAGAGCAGTTTTAGCATCTACACCACACCTATTCCTAAAATGCATATAAAATTTGACAACAATCGGTTTATCGGTGCAATAGTTTCGGAGATTATCTATCTAATCGTACTCTAGGGATCATGAAACGTCGAGAAAACATCTAAGTACAATACTTCCCCCCTTAGCTTACGCTCAGGAAGTAAACAACATTAATTTGTCAAAAATATAGAAATGTTCACTTTTCAAAATGAACCATTTAATTCGATATAGCTTTGCTCTACAAAATTACATATCAACAGAATAGCTATTTATGTACCAAAGACGAAAAAGTTTTCTGCAGGGTACGATATTCCCAATTCTAGCAAATTAAAAATCAATATAATACATACATTCCTTTAAGTGCAACAACTCTTTATTTTAATTATAATACTCAAAATGACAATTAAAATGTTTATCTTAATCGTACACGTTGCTAAAATAAGCTAAACACCGACCCCACACCAGCTGAGCGAACAAAAATGTTTGCGGGCGAAAAATGTTAAGTATTCAGAAAAGTATCATTTTTCGTCCGAAAATAAGTACGTAAAATAACATTTATGGTAAAGGTTGACGGAAAAATAATTTATTATTACAATCCCAGAAATGATATTAGAGATAAATTGATATTCATTCCAAATTAAATGTACAAAATGAATCTGTTCATTTCCTACCACAAAATAGTGGAATATATTATATTTTACTGTTACGTGTAGAGGGAGATAACAAAGTTTATTTTAAACATTTAATTTGGAACGCATGTAGATAGATAAATATAACTGTTTGTGGTATATGACAGCACTACGCTTTATAATGTTGCCCACAGATCAAAACAGGTTGGACTTCAAGCATTCAGTTTTACTACTGCGAAAACAAAGATTCAAAGCATGAACAATGGTCTTCTGGTAGTATCCACTGATAGTGTCGATGATAAAATAATATTGTTAAATTATTTCTATTCACAATCACCGTTACGTTTGAGAAAACTATTATGAGTGGAGTGCCGTAAGGTTTATACCTCGGAACCCGGTTCCACTGAATGGATTTTTGTAAAACCTTTTGGAATGTGTTTTTAACACTAAATACTAAAATATTTACCCATTTATTTTTGCCGATCTCAATTTCTTAATTATTAAAATAAATAATAATAATTTTTTCTGGGTTTTCATTCATTTTCTATTAAAAACTCGAAATTTTTTGCTCTTAAAGTTAGATTTTTCATAAGATAACTAGTACAAACCTGTCCTTGGGGCCTCAGAAGATGTTTGATGTCGGGCGCAACATAATAGTACACGTTGCAACTAGCTAGGCTAAACACGTAGCTATTTTTGTGCATTTCGAAAAAACATGTTCTGTTTTTTATTATTTTGATTATTATAATAAAATTATTCCTTTATTGGCTTTCTCAAGCAAAATAACAGTGGATGATAATATCATTCTGATTGAACCACTACTGTTATTTCAACGTATTTGCATTTAAAAAAAATCGGATGAAGAACTTAAAATCCACATGACTTTCGAATTAGCTCCTTATTCTCTTGCTCTTTTTGAAGATGACGAAATACGTAAAACAAAAAAATCTGCATTTTATGACCTATTCCCAGAAATGACGGTGAATGTTAACAATGTACAAAAATTTTCATACGTAATTGATGTTGGGATGTTAATACACCGTTGCAGGTGTCAAAAAAATACCTCAAAATCGATGGAAAGAACTCGTCGCTCTAAAAAAAAATGCATGTACGTAATGACATCGTATTCCACAAAAACACGCCTCTCAAAATAGGACAAGAAAAATTTTTAGCAAACGCCAAAAATAAGAGGAGCCTCATAGATATGCTACGAAGCACACTTGCGGAAAATAAAATTTTTTCTTGTCAAGTGGAAACTAATGCCGACCGATTAATACTTAATAATTGAAACCGAAATTAATTTGCAATCCGAAAACGTTGTAGTTTCTGACGATGTGTACTAGTTTTACTGACTGCGCTTTTACTAACAGATTGAGAAATTTATTTTCAAAAACCAGCAAAAGGCCAAACACCACAAAAAGTATACTTATCTAAAAGCTTGGAAATAGTATTACCAAAGTGTAAACAGCATATCCCTTTTTTAGATTCTTTCACTGGGTGTGACACGAAGTCCCCTTTCTCGCAACGGGGAAAAATATGTTTGCAAAAAATTTAGAGCAACGACTGGACTTACAAAACGCTGCAGCAGTTTTTGAAAATGAATGCAAAGACGCCATAACATTTTTAAAGCTCATGTTACATGCGCCCTTGCCTTATACGCTGCCCCTCAAAAATAAAAGATCTAAATATCTTAAGCTACAGCTCTTTTGTAAAAGCAACAGCTAAAAATAGCTGCGTTAAATTACCGTCTTTGGTACCTACTGCAGATGTCGCTTTTAGGCACTTCAAAAGAGTATACCTGCATGGCTCGGAAGAGAAATATTACCAGAAGAATGGGATTGGAAATATGAAAGCGAAATACTGATACCAGAATTAATGACGTAACTATATCAGCTCCGCAGACCTTACTGAAAATGATTATTTACGAACACAAAACAGGATGTGTATCATCTTGTGGGTGCAGGAAGAGTGGCTTGAAATACACTGTAGCTTGTTTAAAATGCAATGGCAATAGTTGTCCTAATCCATCACCTATCATCAAAGTGAATGAGATTGACAATGATAATGTAGATAATTGACTCAAAATTTTTCAGTTTTTATAAAATTAAATAATAAACATTTATTTTTTTATTAATGCAGTATATTTTACCTATTTTTTGTATCTTTGGTCCGATATGTATACGATTTTGGGCAACTTGCCTTATTATCAATTGTTTTTTGTAACTTTGTTATTTTTAGCTAAAAAATTATAAATTAATGTTAAAGTTATTGTACAAATATCATTTATTGTATATAAAATTGAAATCTACACTACAATTTTTTTTTCCTTCATATTTTTCTCGTTCTTCAATTAATTGTTGTTATAAATTGTTGTAATAGAAATCGGCAAATTTTGATGGGTAAACTTTTTCATTTAAGCTTTTAACAATGTAATCGAAAAGGTTTCACGAAAATCCATTCAGTGGAACTGGGTTCCGAGGTTTTTACATTTTTATGTCTTACGGCACTCCACTATATAGATTATAGGTGGTGAATAAATAGGGCTATATTAATAAATATCGTTATTTGCTAAACATAGTCTCGTCCACGAACCTCTGTCTTTTCGAATAATACCGGCACAATAAAATTCATTTTTTATAACTGACCTCACGTTTTGGTATTCGTGACAGCATAGATAGGGTTTTTAAAATAAAATTAAAATTAAAAATAAAAATGAAATTTTAAATTAGATTAGCAGTTTAATGAGCCCTAAGAAGGTTATTTATAAATAAATACCAAAATGTCAGTCGGCCTATAAAAAAAAATGAAATATGTTATGAAAAACCGTTTGAACTTGAGTTTCTTAAGTATTCGTCTAAAAAAAGAACAAATTTATCCCACCTAAATGGTTTTCGATTGGTTTATAATTAATTAGAAGCAATTAAAAACTCCAAATTATAGCACGACTTAATTTTATATTTAATTTTTTAAATGTGGGAGTCACCACAGTGGCACGGTTTTCCTCAGTTGAATTATTATCTAAGGTTTTATGGAAGCATATTCACTCGGGCAAAAATTTATTTAATTAAGATGATAAGAAAAGCTGAAACTAAAATCTTCTTCCGAAAATCACATTTGTAGAAAAACGAATTCAGTTTATAAGATCTAAATTAAGACACTGATGGTTAAATTAAGGGACAAAGCGGGTGCTATGTGCCACACAAATCGTTAAATCGCTCTCAAAACTTATAATTAGATCTTACTAATAATACTTAATGCTAATCACAGTTGACAACTTTCTTTCTAAACAAAAATTCCAAAATGAAATGGGTTTTAGAATTATGAGAAAGAATCTTGAGAATAAAAGAATTACTTGCAGGGAACGCTGATTCCGTGCAACCGAAGCAAAACAGTAGAGAAAAGTGCTTCGACAGCAAGTTCTCGATATAACTTATTTTTTAAAATATTCTTTAAGAGACATCTTGTTCAACCAAAGTTTTGTTTTCAGTAAAATATTAAGGAAATAGTTTGGGATTTAATTCTGTTATATTCAAAACACCCATGGATTGTCTTAAAAAGTATACAACCTTGACACATCTATTTCCTATTGCCTTTTATTAGTCACTTTTATCAATTAGATAGCTGGTTGTTAAATTTAAAAAAATCTGGGTCAAGTAGATATTTGAATACGTTTAAGGCTCATTACGAAAAATAAAACAAAATTATAGCACTTTTAACTTCACTTGTAGGCAATAAATGTCCATTGCGATGTTTTTGTTTGTACAGACACTTCCTAGTTTGTTTCATTATTTCTTACAGTTTTTCGGTTTTTTATAATGACACTACTTACTTGTACCATCCAATTCCAACTGCAATCAGTCCAACAGTTGCAGCGGCGCTAATTCCAGCCACCACAGCAATTATGTATACTCCTGCAGATTCATTCGTTGCAAGCTGCGGCTTAACAGCAACTACTTCCACTTGGTCATCCTTTGTAGTCGCTTTCACTTCTTTTCTGCCTTCTTTACCTACGCTTTCATCACTCCGATGAGCCAGTCGTATATTATTGTCTGCTAGCTGTTGAAGTTTTGACTGGATTTTTTGATCACCTAAAATAGTCTTCAATTAGTAGCCAGCTCGATGAGAAAAAAATCATTTTCTATTATTGAAAGTGGAAATAAAATAACATAATACATAATCTGATTTACAAATTATTTATAATATATTTTATAAGACGAAACAAATATGTAGTTCAAATTAAAAACTCCAAGTTTCAACTACACAGCGTAAGATCTTATTCTCCTTCAATACTTTTAAAATTTTATTTTCCAAAATTTATATATATGTTTTACTTAATCAGATCACTGAAAATTCGAGTGTTAACTGTAATTGGACAAGTCTAGGGAGAGTGACATCATATAAAATTGATCACTAGTGACGTAAAACTGTCAAATATTAAAAATCTATCACATGATTAATAATGAATTTAGCGACGAACTTACACAATTTGCTAAGCAAACAACAAAGTTTGTTGTAGTAATTTCTTTTGAAGCAGGTGCTTGAGCCATTATGCAATATGTTTACTGATATTTTAGTTAATCTATGCAATAAATTTTATGCATGACTTTATTATCACTCGGTATACAAGTGAACTAAAATTATTACCATATAATTTACATATTTTTCGAACATTTCAACTTTTTCTTTGTGATTAACACAATTCATTCTGGTTTTTAACAGCCACTCAATTTTGTCTAGGTAATCAATATGTTTTATCTAACTTATCTAGAATTAGTGACGCAAGCAGTAGTATCTAATTAATTGTTAAAATATAAGAACAAATGACACATTTTTACCTTTATCAGTTTCGACATTCTGAAAAAATCTGGCGTCCGATGGAGGATATGCAAACTGACTTGGATCATCCACCAATTTGGCATTTTTTAGCAGACTGCCTTTTCCAGACGCCTCTTCAGTGTTTTTTTCAACTCCTTCGCCTGGAATACTTTCCATGTGACTAGAATGGGAGGTTGCCGGCTGATGAACATGTCTTTGATGTTGTATACTGTGTTCCCTTATTTCGTCCCCAATATCGTCTTCGCCAAAACTAAAATCGTCTTCATGTGGATAAGGTCTAACGTCGTCTAAAATCTGACTATTGATGGGATAGTTAAATCTGTCGTAATTGAGATTTTTTTCTATATTTTTGTACTCATTGTAGGCGTCCTCGATAGGAAGAGAAAGATCTTCTTCACTGTTAAACTGATTTTGGTTTCTGTCTAAAAATTCTTGAAATTTTTGTAATTGTTCTGGAAGCTCTAAAGGAAAATTTTGTTCTTTTTTTCTGGTTCCCCAGTTTTCAAACAACGGCTTCTCCCAGGGCCATCTCCGATAATTTTCATCATAAAGCGGGATATCTTCATCGTTCTCTAAACGCGGTCGTTGTTCTTCAGAAGACAAGTCAAATTTCAAATCTGCGAAAAGAATTTTATTCAGAAATTACGTGGAACTGGTGGGACTTGTGACAGATTCTTGAAGAAATTAAAACAAATCGATGGTAGATATCCGACATCGGTTAGTGAGAATTAATTTACTTTCTCAATTTGTTTTCCGCTTGGCGAAATTCACCTTATGGAGATAATGCAAATAAAGCACGAATACATCCGTCTTTATAAACTCTGAACAATTTACTACTTTTTTGATATTATAAATAAAATAGCACGACAATCAATTAAAATAAACCAGTAAATTACAATTACGAGTGTATACATTAAAACTTCAGGACAGCATTATTTGTAATCTAATACGTTTTAATTCCATCACAAAATTTAAAATAATTCTATTTAAAATTAAGCAAATTTGCGTAGTCTCTTTTTTCGCTTAAAAATAAAAGCAATTTGCATTTCAATTTTTTTGCATTTTAACTTTTCCTTTAAAAACAGGGCAAAAAATTTACATAAATGAACTAGTTTGTGAATCGTGGATAAAATTTTAATTAGAGGGAGAGCATACCCACTTTAAGTTCCAACAAGCGCTTACATTCTCCAGATTAATATCAAGGACTCTGTCCATATTTTATGCGTAGATTGTTGACGCTTTGTGTCACTTTATCCTTTCATTAAAACTTTTAGAAGCTGTCTACTATGAATCTCTAGAACCTCAAAATTAAAAAAAAAATTAAAACAAACGTGATTACTTAGGTTATGGTGAATATAGCGAATCGCCAATTATAAGTTTTTTGGTTATCTCTTCCAAAAACTGTCTAAAATCTACAAAATATTGTGTACATTTATTTTTTCTTAACTTACAGGGGTTATCATAAACAAATAAAACTCACAGAATCAAATTTCATAAATTGTTTAAGAAACTGATTTGTTTGGTTATGCTTTAGAGCCGACGGAAGTTCAGTTCAAATAACTTGCCAACAATTTTTAGAACGGTGTACACGAAAAATTATTAAATGAGGCCATATTTAACTGATTAAATCAAAACAAGTTCTGGGAACAAACAGACAACAGAACCGTTGTTGTTATTATTATTGACGATATAATCACAAAATTTTATTATAAAAATCTGACTTCATATATACGCATAGCATGCTCCTATATATTTAAGTTTACAATTCACCTCTATTTTTGTTTTATAATTTTTTAAAAAAAAAATGGGCTCCCATAACTAATTGCGATTCGGGAGCGAGAAAATTCTGTCTAAATAATTTGAAATAATTATACATATGTATATAGGTATCCCAAGTAAAACTCCGCGAGCTTGTAACTTGAAAAAAAATTAGGTTTGCGTTTTTATCTAGGACATTCTGTATATACACATATATATAAATGTAAAATTTCATATTTCCACATAAAATAACAGCAGAAATAGATGTTACGATTTCAATTGCTTGAATGCGTGTCATAAACACGTATTGTGTACAACAAAGCCTGCTAAAGCTATTATCTATATTAATAAAAGCTCCCTATAAATTTTAATAGGATTTTAGGTATTTTTTATTTCTGTGTCTTAGCATGGCTTTCTGGTTAGTGAAGTTAGCAGGAGTTCATAATATACGATTTGAACTAGGTTATTATTAAAGATGTCAGATCACAGAGGGGGGGCAAGCTAATTTCACTTCAGCGCTCCTTTCAACGGATCTAAGTAAAATAATAGTAATATAGTGGAACTAAAACAAAATTTAGGGAAACTTGCTGAAGCTACATTTAAACTAGGAGTAGAAAGTGGTAGCTACTTTCGACTAAATCTAACTAAAAATCTAATGTTTAGTGTATTCAATTTAGTACGGAAATATCTTATTTTAGCGACTCAACTTCATCATCTGAGAGTAGTATAGAATTTCCGTCGTTCAGATTTTTTGTTTAAAATACGATTCCTCCACATTGTTTGTGGTTAGCTTTGTATACGTATCAAAATTACATTGAGAGTTAACATTTACTTAGCCTCCCACCTCGAAAACAAACAGGCGGTTATCAATATTTTTAAATGAAACTGTTTTTAAATAGTTTAATTATTCAAGTGCCTGTGCGATGCCAACATCAAGAATAACAAATGTTTCTCAAATATTAAAAATAACAACTTTTTGAAAAGAAAAAATTTTCGACAGCTCATCAGTTTTTACAAGCATTTGCTACGTAGCGCTCATTATTTAAAACTCATTTTGAATTTTCTAAAAATAAAGTCGTTATTATGTATAAGTCGAACCAAAACAGACACTTTAAAGATAGTGTTCTATTAAAAATTCAAGTGTACCTACTTTGGTTGTGTAGGTATATGGTGTTCTGCGTAAGTACTGGTATACTCGACCACTATCACAAAATACATCCGGTCAGAATAAAAGATATCCTGATAGCGATGTATGTATAAAGTTAACATGTACTGTATGTGTTTCAACTTCCATGCGATCGTTACGTGAAATAATTTTTAACGTTGTAACACGTCCCAATGTTACAATTATAAGTTAAATGTCTGAACAACGAAATTACTTTGCAGCAATGTGTCCATAAAAAGAACATAAAAGGTTTTGAATAATTGAAATGACATGAAAATATAATTGATAAAAAAGAATAATGCTGAAACTCTTGTATGTATGTACCTTCATTAAACGAAAGTTGAACGTGTAGGTAGATAGGATTAAATGGAATTCTTGTAATAATTGGGGTATCACTTCAAGCTGACGTCGAGAATTTAAACACGTCAGAATGAAAAATTACATGTTTGATTTGTGTTTTATTTATTTTAATATACAAACTTTTACAGAGTAATGTGAAAAGTTACAAACATTTGTAAACAAAGAATTTACATTAATTCAGTCTATTTCCGTGCTCTATGACAATAATAAATTACAAACATCAGTATAACGAAGAATGGATAGCTTTTTACATAGATAATGTGAATGTTACTTTGAGGAAAAAATTTAAAATACATATTCGTTTAATGCTATTGGAATCAAATATTATATTAATTATATTATATATACATAAATAACTTTTTTTAACAGACGAATAAAGCTGACACTTAATAACAGTCAATGACATAATTATTTTCACGGTGCACGGGTATAAAAAATTGTTTGCCTTGTCTATAAAACATACATTTTTCCTACGTCTGCCTTTACAAGTTATCTTTCCACCTCATTGACATACCTCAGACATTAATCATTTTAATCAATATCATTTATATACTTGAAAAGTAAAACATATAAAATAATAAATAAGTAACACATGAATATTCACGATCATGTATTTGTTGAATACCATAATAACCTGTCAACAGCTTCCTCAAATTTGCTGTTTTTTTGACAATATGTAGGTATTTTCAAAGTGCTCCAAAGTAATTTCTGGTAGTTAGCTGTTTATTATAGTTATTTATGTATTAAGGGCATAATTAGGGAGATTATTCCCTAGGGCGACATTCGACAATTATGCTCGTAGTAGATACAAAGTTTGATTCTATTTTAGTTTCTAAAATATTTTTAACGAAATATTGAGTATTTTTGGCAAGATTGTGTGAACTGTGCCTATGCGAACTTCAATACGTAGCTGGCTATTATTCTCGTATTGTTATGAATAATTGTTGTTTATTTGTTAAATGTTGAATATCGAAGCTTGTCTGAATAATTAATTAATTAATGTGAATGAATAATAATCAATCGTTGCTTTTTTAACTGATTTGTGCCAATTTATGACCGTATTTGGTGCTTATAAACAAGATTATGGGTCCAAAATAGAATAAATTATAATTATTAAAATATTACAAGGTATTCAGAAAATGTTTTGCTGGCATTTTTCAAGGAAAAATAAAAATTTATGAAACCCATCAGCCTTTGGACTATCTATAGTACGTTGAAAAAGAAACAACACTCTTCGGGAAAGAAAACACCAATATTCTGAAATATGCTAAATTACTTAATAGGATTTTTGAAGCAAAAAACAATTGGACGTAAGCCAAAAATGTCGAAAACTGTGTCAAGAAACCAAGTTACAACACCGGAAAAACCGGATGATAAATTTCTAGTGATAAAGATAATCAGTTAGTTAAATTTTAAACAGTTTACTCTAAACTGGTATTTCTGAGGTTTGTTGTCGAAATGAACTTTATGAGTTAAACGAAAATAATGTTCAAGAAAAAAAGTCCATTTCAACTGTCAAAATTCTCGGCTCCAAAACTCACATAACGAAAACTTTTACAGTGGTCAGTGATGACGAAGTGGACTTTACAGGAATTTATAAAACAATATACACCGTTAAGGAAAGGAAAATCTGCAGCATGTAAGAAACAAATGTCACATCAAGTTATTGGTTTCAATACATGTGGCCATTTGCCCCAAATAATTTTTCCTTATTTAAATTGAGATATTCTACGAGCCATTGCTTCCACAGGACTTCTGTGACAATGTTAGCTACCGGTGCGGATTTGCTCTAAATAAAAAGATATGGTGGCTGGACACCATGAACAGTTGCCAAAAGTTATATTGGTAATTCCATAGGCAACTAAATAGGACCTTTTATTTGTAACAAAACGGTTAAATTTAATGAAAGTGGTGACTCTTGTTCTGTTGATTTAACACAAATACCAGTAATACTGTGCTATCAACTCTCGGTGAGCAAGGGCTAACAGTACAAAATGTTTCAAATTATAATATTACCATAAATAATATTATTATAATAAATAACTAGGTATATCTAAATAAAAATAAATATTGCAACAAAATGTTGTGTTCAGTTTAGATCTACCTTTTCCGTCTGTTCGTCTGTCTGTCTGTCTGCCGTCTGTCCGGATTTTTAGATAGTCTCCGAAACTACTCGACCGATTGTTGTTAAATTTTATATGTATATTACGAATATCATCTAGATGGTAAATTGTTCACAGTAAATGCGTTTTAAATTGTACAAAATAACATAGTCCTACATCTGTAGTTTATGACTAAGTTTTAACTGTGGCGTCCAGATTTTTGAAAAAAAAAATCGAAATTATAAAACACATTTTGCAATTTAATTTTGAATCCGTAAAACCGAATGCTTTGAAATCTTGCAGATATTTTAAAGTTATCATAAGCATTACAATTATTTTAAGATTATGTACATATCTTTATTTCAACTTACATCAAATTTTACAGTTATTCGAAAATGCTGGATATGTTTCGTTGTACTTTAGGTGCGAGAAAAGTTCTGTCCAAACAATGTTTCTATATTTTTTTATTACAGTTGCAGTCGTAGGAAAAATCTTGTTATGTTACATACGCAAAAAATCTCTTGACTCACTAGTTCTAATTTTTTCGAAGCGCAGTTTACTTTCGCTGTAAATTTTCCAAACTCGCGCTTAATGTTTCGTTTTCCACTTTAGTTACATCTAATATATAAAATTCTTATGTCACAGTATTTGCACCCAAATGCACCCAAACTCCTCCGAAACGGCTTAATCGATTTTTATGAAATTTTTTGTGTGTATTCGGTAGGTCTGAGAATAGGTCGTAAACTATTTTTTATATCCCTAAGTGATACGAGTGGTCCACCCAAAAAGTTTTTTGTTTATTTTTTGGACAAAATTTTTTATTTTTATTTTTTTAAGATTTGGCATCAAAAATACATATAACTCATATAACTCTAAATTTTCACCCTTCTACCACCAACCCCCATTTTTTAATAACGATATTAGTATCTTTACTTTCATCCACAGATGCGCAATAGGGTTGTAAGATGGCTGTTGAATATAATCATTGTCGTACGATAAATTTTTATGTATAATTTATAATTTAATTTAATTATAATTTGTTTATTTATTTTAATTTAATTTTTTATTTAACTACCAAAATAATCACTAGAAATAATGTATATGCCAAAACAACGTTTGCCGGGTCAGCTAGTAAATATCTAAAACATTAAAATCTACAAGTTTATTGACATATTACTCAATTTTGAAATCTACATTAAACATAAAGTAGACTGAACCAGATATCCGAAATTTTACGTCTTATTCTATTGAAAAGAAAATCCAAGGATATGTACCCAAAAGGGCTTAAACGTTTTCAACAAATGAAATAAAGCAATGTGTGTTTTTGGCATTACAAGAGCCTGCAAAAGAAATGAGCTACACAAGTTGGAATTTTGAGATGTAAATCTTTTTAGCCACTTTTAGTAGTACTAGATACTAAAACGAAAACAACACAAAAATTCACAGTTACGGAAAAGTATAATGAAATAATATACCTGCAGTAACTCAAAAATTTTCGTCTAAAACTCGTATAACCCCATATTTTTTATCAATTATGTCAACAGAAAATGCAAAATATAAAACTTTGGAACAAATAAGTTTATACACCTGACACTGCTTTTGTTGCAGTTCTATACAGGGTGTTATTGAAACATACTTACAACAAAATTGACAGTTTTTGGCGAAGTCTAAGAAGTCTCAAAAACTTATTTTGTGTTATTAAAATTATAAGGACAAAAATTAACCCTTATCCAACCATTTTAGACGCTAGTGAAGGATAAATAGGTAACATTAATTTATTTTAGTAAATCCTGTAACAACAAAACTTTTGTCAAGACTAAATGTTGCTATAGAAACGAAAACTGATCTTTTTATCAGAGGCGTACCTACAACAAATTTGAACATAAATTTTAATAATTTTTATCTCTAAAAGGAGAACACTTTTACTTGAATTTTTTTTTACTTTCCATACTTCTAGACCAATTTCCGATTTTATTTTGTACGTACCTTTCTAAACACGCTGTATAACATCGCTAAAACGTCACGGTGGATGGAAATCCACAACAGTGGCCGAAAGTTACATCGACGAGTCTATTCAAAATAAGATCAATCTAAGAAATCATATTTTGAATTCGAATGAATACTGCCAAAGCAACAACTCATTAAACACTGTTATATCAACATCAACAATAGTATCCATCTATGATATTAAAAAATGCTAACCCAATTGCATTTTAATAAGTGTACCATCTCAAATGTGACGACCTATCGAAAGAAATAATCTTTCATTGTTTCTGTTAAACTATGATTTTTTGACACTTCGGTTTGTATTATTGTATAATATTAATTATTTTAATACTTTTTTAGTATTTTTTCTATTTGCGAATAATAAATTTTCGAAATAAAGTGGTTATTTTTCATTCCTCTGATTCATCGTAGAAAAAAAAGTGTCTATAATAACTCTCAATGTCTTCATGGTATAATATACTGTTGTGTAAAGAAAATAACTTGTTCATAATTCGTGTTTGTCAAAATGAAATATTTTTTAATGATAAAACAGTGTAGTTATTTTCATTCAAATACAGAACGTATTTTATATAATATTCTATATTATAATAAATAATAAATGACGAGATAGAATGGAGAAATCACAGTGGTATAACGTCTTTAGTTCTCTTGAATACACTAAATAAAAAAAAACTTCATTCATGTGAACCAATGTACTACTTCGCGTACTCGTTGCGTAGATAACTGTTTCAAACTTTGTTGTTATTGGAACATTTGTGGAATCTAATTAAAGTCTGGTTGAGCTGCTTCCCTCCGTACGTCGTGTGTTTGTTTAATATAGGTGTATTTAAAACAATATAAGAAAACTGTAGAAGTAATCGTGTCCAATATTAATTTTTGTTCATACTTAAAAAAAGGTAAATTATCCAATTAAATAGAATGCTTCTAACGTGTTTACGCATAAAAATTTTATTAAAGCTGGTATGATACTTTAATTTTATTAATATTATGTTTGTAAAACACAGAGAAACTCGAGTAATTGAATTTAAGACTTACGTTTTAGAAGCTTTTGATACTGTTTTTTTATATTTCGTCATATGAGATAAGTTGCATCAACTGATCTATCAAAATTATCTAAAAAACTCCACACGAACAAAAAAATCTGTTAAATATGAAACGCATTTCCGATTTTGATGGAAATGAAGCCAACTTTTATTTTTTAAGTATAATAATTAATAATTATTATCTTACACTGGCTATACAGCAAAAATAATAATTTTATTGAAAAACAAAGAACAAAAATTGTGCTCGATTTTGTGTTGTAACTTTTTTATTCCAAATTTATATTTAATGCAGGCAGTATATATAAAGTCATTTTAACTGAATTAAGGCGAAGGACTCAGTATATAATTGATTCGTTTTGTTTTGTCATAATGACCTATGAATTTTCTTTTTATTCGTTATTCAAGATACTTAAAACTTTTACTGATTACCAGAAATATAATCAAATTTTAAACACAAAGTCTATTGAGTGAGCAAGTTCTTGTAATTTATCCACTGAGAATAATTGTCACTTTAATATTCATAACAACAAAAAAAATTCACAATTTGTAAAAAACCTGGTGTTATTTTAAGGTTAAATTTAAATATACAGTATTCACCGCTGTTTTTGCAGTGGATTGTTACGTGAAAGTAGTTTTTTTAGATAACTTTGAATTTCTTAGGTCGCCGTCTTTCCACTTTTTGCCTCTTTTTCTCCTTTCATTTCTGAGGCAATCTTTAAAAATGCGACAAAACATGGGATCCTATTTCCCATTTAACGCAAGGCATTTCCCGACAATTTTATTACAGAATCTTGCTTGAAGGCAGTAGCCTTTTTCACAGCGCTCAATCTTTAATAAATTTTATTATTATTTTCCCTCACAGTTTATATATTTAACACGATAAATTTAATTCAGTACTAGTTACATTTGTGGCGTATATAAATAATAAGAGAGAAAGTTATTGATTAAAAGTTTACTAAACTTGTTTCTTGGGGTTCGTTCCCTCTATAAAATGGTTAAATATTAATGACAAAAACAAACAAATAAAACTACGTATTTCACAACAAAATTAATAATAATAATAATTTATCGAGTCTCTCGTTATTCAAAGGGTTGCTGCTTTCAATAATTGTGCTGGAATAATTATTTCATAAAAAAATGAACTATTTCGAATTTCAAATCTGGAACAACAAACGTATGGTTTTTTATTGAGCGAAATTTCCTACTTGTTTTATTTTATGGAAACGTATTCATTTTAATAGATTTTTTCAGAATCCACAAACTCAAAAATAAATCACCCGCATATTGATATTCAAAATTTAAAATGAATATATTTTGCATTTAGAAAAAAAATGAAAATCCAGGAGTTTCCTTAGCAAATTCGAACATATCTCCTAATTTTACCGTCATACTACCGCAATATTTTTCCACGTAATCTTTCCAAATGGGACTGAATTTCCCCGCTAAGATACTAAAACTGTTTATTTTCCAAAAATGTCTCATTTTACATGCCATGGATTATAGTCCGAATATATAATAATGTAAACTTGAACATTAACTATAGTACAAAATAAGATACATATGACCAAGGAGAAACATATTGAATAAAATTGGAGGTAAATTTCCCTGATTTTACAAGAAAAACTTACGTCTATTGCAAAATGTAATTCAACATATGTAAACTGAACATTATCTAGACAATAATAACATAAATTAACGAAATACCATTTGCATATTTTTTTTTGGAAACGGTATTTTAACCCAAATTTCATAGATCGTATTATGATTATTAATACTACAGCTGAATTCATATTTATACATAGTCTGAAATATTTGGCGGTTTTTTTTTTCACAAAAACACATCGCGTTCCAGGTGACTGATAAAATCCATTGATAAATATGAATATAACTTACCCGGATAAATTTCCAGATCCCCGGAAGCACAAACACTACATGATATTACGATGACAATACATATGAAAGTGAATTTCATATTGTATATTTCCAGGAGGTTCAGTCCATATGTTTTCACAGTCCTGCCATTTTTCCAAGTAATCAATAGGAAACCCAACATGCCATTGGGCGACGCTACCGACGTCACAGGAGGTGCTAAAATTCCCAGCTAGTGAACTGACTATTTTCATTGACTGAACAAAACTGACACAACCATCACAAACGATATGCGCACATGCGCCCCCACTTTATTATAACACGCAGTATTGCTGATAAATATCGTAACAATATCTGCTGAAAGCTCTGCTGAAAACTGAAATTTTGTTATTTTAATTCCCCGATAAGCGCTGTTATTTTTTGGGACACGGAAAAGCAGGAAAGAAAATTCAAGTCCAACAATCTAAATATTTTCTTTAATCACAACCTATTTGAAACTTACTACATACATAATACTCTGAATGTACTTAATTTCATATAAATGCATTATTTCTATTAGTTGTCCATGTCATCTGTTGATTCTCCTTCAACAGCGTATCTCCCCTCGTCCTTCTTTTTTCCTCCAGTCTTCTTTTTTCTTCTATTAACAACCCCATCTTCTTCGTCCATCATTCTTACGATAAGCATCTGATCAGAAGTGTCTAATGGCGCAACCGAAATATCTCTAACAGCCCGAAATTTTCCACAATTATTAAGATGTTCGTTTTCCAATCGAAAAAAATTCCAGACGAATCTCCTGAGTAAATAAATTATATTAAAGTCACTCTCTGAGGACAACGTGATTTATTTCCAATAACACGTGTCATCTTTACCTAAAAACTTCCAAGGGCGCTAGAATCGTAACCATCAAGTCGGCGTGAATGTATCCCATTTCTGTTAGCGACATCGAAAAAGCCCATCCAAATCGTAAAATAAAATCTTCTATTATTGCGAAATAATAGAACCACTAAAACGAAATACTAAGGTAAAGAATTCCAGACGGAGAATTTTACCGTAGAAGAATAAACGATTTCTTCCCTCAGGAACTTGTTATCACCAGCTTTGGAATCGAATAGCCCCCAGTCCAATTTTATGTCCCATGTGTATGCGTAGCAAGAACTTATCAAAGATGCTGTTATCCAAAGATAAAAAAATGGACTCCCCATCATTCCAGAGTTACCTTCATTAATTTTTTATCGTAAGTTAAATATGCTCCGCTCCACATAAAAAAGTTGTTAATGTTCTCTACATTGCCTAATGAATAATTAACCACAGTCTAAACTGCTTTCATTTTTCGTCCAACTTAATCGTGATATATGGCATACAAAAAAATAACTCGGCAATACTTAATAACTAACTCCGAACTTCTTGCTTTAAGGACATTAATGCGTTCTAGTTGCTTTATATAAGTTTTTTAATTCAAATTTACATTTCTTCCCCATACTTATTAACTGATGAATATTTTAAAATAAAGCGAATTATAATACATATAAAATGCAATAAAATCGTAAATATATATATTTATTATTATTAATGGATAAAAATCGTTGTAACATCAAATTATTTTTTAAACAAGCTAAAAAAAAATGTATCAGTTATAGGACGAGCAACAAAATTTGTAAACGAGTCATCTCTTGAATTGAATCCGAATATTTTCTCTGAAAGGATATGTTTAACCCTGAAAGTTGTAATTTTGATTTTAGTCATAGTTTAAATACCAAAATATTTTAATTAAATTCATATTGGTTAAATAATAACATCATGAAATTTTTTTTAATAAAACAAGATGCTTTTGGTGAAATAAATTTTCTTGCAAGTTACAGTTTTTACGGAATTTAGAAAATCAAGACTAATAATTTTTTTTCACTTTTACATTTGACTGTCACATTAAAAACAACAAAGTGAAGTATAATATCGTCGCCATAATAAAATCTAGGCAATGTAAAACACAGATTCTATATAGTTTATTCTGAAATTATTACTTGTTTGGTAATTATTTTCTATATAAATATTTCATTATATTTGTTAAGGTTATTACCATACTGAATAAATAACCTTAATTAATAAATTCCTGTATAGATAAAATTACATCTCAAACTTTTCAAATTCGGTTAATTCCACAATCCAAATTTTGAAAGCTGCATTGCGACCTTAAGATTATCCTCAGCTAAAGTACCGCGGCTTAATATCTTGATAATGTATAAAGATATTGAAATTCTGTAAACGCCATTGTTTTTAGCTTGAAAGGGAAGCTCAAATGAGTAGGATAGGCAAATTTGCACCACTGTCATAAACAAAATATTTTAATATTGAATACATGTTACTTTATATAGTCTGACATATTTGCATATCATTAAAAATTCGAGTGAAGTAGTAAATATGCAAATCAAATCATATACTATTGTGCTAAAAGACAGTCATTTGTTTGTGTTAAAATTTGTGTTACATTGTCAATCTGTTAAATGAAAACAATATCATTTTTAGTTTTAAAAATAGTTTTTCTTTAATTTTGACGACACGTATCTTTAATACCTACTTCGTTTTAGGTGTAGCTATAAAACCAAGTTTGCCGTATTATATTACACAGCAGGGTAATAATTGGAGAAAAGTGTTGAAATGAAAAACGAAAATGTTACAACGCCTATATCAAATGTCAAAGTGGAACAGTTTCCCTCCAATTCAAAACTCGTTAAGTGAACTCCATAAAGTTCACGGTCATGAACAATCCACCCGCATTGTAGTGGGTGGGAGTGTAATATAAAATCAATTTAGCTAATTAACGGCAGTTCTAACAACAAAGTGCTTACCTGAGTAAATCGTATTTAGGGCAGTAAAAATGACAACGAAAAATGATGTGGCGTACTTTGCAGCATTAGCTAAATGAGGAAATGCTTCCCTAGTATCCCTGTATCTTCTCAAGCATTGAGCAAACCTAAACCATGCAGGTAAACACGCCATAAAAGGTCTTATAACCAGATGTTTTTCTACACAGTAGTTTGTGTCTAAAAATATGAATTATTTTAATTTATTGTTTTACTTATATGGTTTTATTTCCGTTTTGTACCTTGTCCAACCGACCAACTTGGATTAGTTATGTAAAAACATACGAAATAGTGCATATCTGTGAAAAGATTGACAATACTGTTCAACTGGTCCGCTATCCAAAAATCAGCAAAGGTCACGTAAAAAAAGGGAGCCATTAATACTTTTCCCTAAAAAACATTATTTAGGGTATATTATACTCATTGTAGATTCGGATGGTATATTTTTATGTAATACAAATATACTGTCATCCTATCAACAAAAATATAAATTGGGAAAAAGTAATATCGTCAAGGAACCAAAAGATATTATGGTTGCGTACAAAATAAAAAAAATATCTATATTTTGACAATAATTTGCATAACGACAAACATATACTACTTAAATCTGCAGAGAGCAATAAATATTTTTTTACAACTTAAAACAAAACCGTAACACGATCTCCACTTTTGTATATAAAGAGCATCGAATTGTATTCAGTTCTCCTGTGTGTAAAAGTTATCTAAACTTCTTTCATCTTATACAGATGAGAAAATGTAAAAATACGTTCAATATGCATATGCAAGAATTAAGTTTTTACTTCTCGATTCTGATTTTAAAATATAGGTGCGTTAAAGTGAACTTCAAATCGTAGTCTCGAATGAGTTACAATCAAAATTTTTGTACAATTACGTACCTACATGTTGGCAATTTTTTTTTGTAAAATTGACCTGTCTTGATTTTACTAATGCCAATTGAGCTTCTTTCTCTCGTCTTGTCCATTTTCGTTTTTTAAGTTTGAACCAACTTTTTTAGAAATTGTTTTTTAAATGCACATTTTGGTTTAAAACAAAAATCTAAAACTAGAACGTCAGTAATGCAATTTTATTTGGAAATACATACGTAACAACTAAACCCTTCCATGAATGAAGGGTTTGTATGAACATTTACCAATTTATTCAGATTTGGGTGCAGTTTTTTTTTTGCTTTTTGATGCACTACTTTTCGACTATTATTTATTAGGAGTAAATGGTATTAAGTACATGTTAAACTTTTTTTTTGAAACATTTTAATGCATTATTTGTCCTATTACTATTATTAAGAGATACCACTCTGTAGATTGGATGACGACGGCAGTCTGGGAGGGTGGTTTTGCTGAATCGTGTTATTAGCCTCACAATACCTTAATTTCGTAAGTATCATCCAATCTTAGAAAATTTACATAAGTATACTACAGCAGAGTACCCACTTTAGTATTACGGAGGGTGGAACATGTATGCATTGAATGAACGACTCCAAATAGACTAATATTTAAAAACCTCCACTTTGAGAAGAAACCAGCAACGACTTATATCAGTAGGGAACAGACCGTTGCGTTGAGGAGCAAACATTAAAAGTGTGTTGAACGGATAATAAGATAAGACATGCACAAAATATACGTAACTGTCTGGATTTATTTTAAGTTGCAACTAAGAAGAAATTCAAGAAATGAGCTGCTGGTTTCTCCAGTAGAATAAGTTTTTGTCCAATACTAGACTGCTTCGTGCTTCGTCTTTTTTTAATAAGCATCATACTCGATTATAAATTAATAACAGAGCATAATTTAAAAAAATCTCAATCGTAATATTGTTATTGTCAATATTTTTTCGTCTATTAAATAATACTCAATTAAACGAAAATTAGCAAAACTGTAAATTCATCTCAAACTCATCATATTTTGCACATTTAAGATTTATTCAGCAAAATTTTGAGGTGACGTCATCAATTTTTTAAGGGGGGATAAGCAAATTCATTCTAACTATAAATTTATCATACCTATGATAACTTTAAAACATCTCCAAGATTTCAAAGCATTCGGTTTTGTAATTACTGATTAAATCAATAAAATAAATTCACGCATTCATTAATTTTTTTGAGTTACCCTGTATATGCAAATCCAAAAAATATGAATGGAATGATAAATCACAAGTATAGACTCATCATATTTTGTTCATTTTAGATACGATTTATTCGGCAAACCTTTGAGCTGACGTCATCAATTTTTTGGAAGGGATAAGTAAATACAGGGTGTCCCAGAATTCGCGCCATTCCCGTGAATGACATGTTCCCTGTCCCGAACTGTGCCGTAATTCGCAAAAAGAATTGTCCAGGCTTTAACCGTGTGAGAACTGGAAGGCGATTAAGTTGACCAATAGAGAGGCTGCTTTTATATCCGAACGTTTCTATGTTCAAAGTTACCTATGCCAAGGACAAAAAATCCGGTAATACTAAAGTTGAATGAATTTTTTCCGAATCCCCCTCCGTCAACAAAAGGAAACAGAAGTGTGGTTATAAATTTAATCATTTTGACAATTGTTTGTCATAAACTGTCACGAAGTTCATCACTGACCTGAACAGACGCTTCTGCGCCAAAGATGACTGATTAATGTACACAGAGACGTCAAGGTTTACTTTAAGGCAAGTAGCATGGGACAGAAGTTATTTCTGCTGCCATTCTAGTTAAATTGTGTTTAACTGGGCTGTACATGCCATAAAAGAAGCTGTTTCATTTCATCGTAGGCAAATAATACATTTATTACTATTCTACATAGTGTAGATATCGAAGAGCAGGTATTAGAAGTCATTTTCTTAGAGCCCCGTGAATCATGTGTTGTTCTTTTTGACGAAAAGTAGTGCATTTTCAGAATTCACTATGCATCATATCCCTGATATTAAGTTTATCGTTATTTCTAAAAAAGAGTACCACATGTCCATTCAAAGAACGTTATTAAGTGTACTAAAACATAAATATCGCTTTTGATTAATCGGTGCTTATGATTTTCAATAAACAGTATCAATTTTTACCGAACAGCTTTGTTGCTGATACTTAATCTAAGCAACGAAAAAAGAGACGAGACTCCACTTCTCTGGTGTATTGAAATCATAGGTATCTGCTGTGGTGTCAATCATGTGGGGGGAGATACTGAAAACGGAGTCTTATTCAAGAATAATATTGATGTTGCACATGATGATTTAAAACAGTTTCTTTAAAGTTGTGAGTACTTTCTAGAGATTGAAAAGATACGAATAAAAAATGTGACAAAAATCGTTTAGTTGCATTTTTTTTTTAAGAACAATACAAACTATAAACAAATCAGTACCAATACCACTAAGTTATTGATGTCTTAGTCATACTAGTACCTATAAAGAATATTTGGAAATGATGTTAATTTATGGAGAATGTAAACGCTCTGCAGCCACTGCTGTGCGCGAATATACAGGTCTTTTCCCCAACCATCGGCTACTTGACCAGCATGTGTTTCGTCGTTTCTTGCATCCAGCAAAAGAAGATGGATCTTTTTAGCCTATTCGGAAAGGCCTTCCTGGGGTTACACGGATTATTATTATTATCCACATTTCGCTAACGTGAGAGCATATCAAGAGCAATACTATTAATCTATGGGCTGGAATCGGGTAGTCGGTTGGTCCCAGATGCTGCACTCTCTTGAAATGGTAAGGATGCAGTCTTCTCTCTTGAAGGATACAATGAGTGGTCGATCTTGAGCATCCACTCATTTGCTCTACGCAGCGGACACTTCTCCTAGGATCCGCTTCCATCAATATTATTCTTGAATAAGTCTCCGTTTTCAGTATATCCCCCACATGATTGACACCACAGCAGATACCTATGATTTCAATACACCAGAGAAGTGGAGTCTCGTCTCTTTTTTCGTTGCTTAGATTAGATATCAGCAACAAAGCTGTTCGGTAAAAATTGAGACTGTTTATTGAAAATCATAAGCACCGATTAATCAAAAGCGATATTTATGTTTTAGTACACTTAATAACGTTCTTTGAATGGACATGTGGTACTCTTTTTTAGAAATAACGATAAACTTAATATCAGGGATATGATGCATAGTGAATTCTGAAAATGCACTACTTTTCGTCAAAAAGAACAACACATTATTCACGGGGCTCTAAGAAAATGACTTCTAATACCTGCTCTTCGATATCTACACTATGTAGAATAGTAATAAATGTATTATTTGCCTACGATGAAATGAAACAGCTTCTTTTATGGCATGTACAGCCCAGTTAAACACAATTTAACTAGAATGGCAGCAGAAATAACTTCTGTCCCATGCTACTTGCCTTAAAGTAAACCTTGACGTCTCTGTGTACATTAATCAGTCATCTTTGGCGCAGAAGCGTCTGTTCAGGTCAGTGATGAACTTCGTGACAGTTTATGACAAACAATTGTCAAAATGATTAAATTTATAACCACACTTCTGTTTCCTTTTGTTGACGGAGGGGGATTCGGAAAAAAATCATTCAACTTTAGTATTACCGGATTTTTTGTTCTTGGCATAGGTAACTTTGAACATAGAAACGTTCGGATATAAAAGCAGCCTCTCTATTGGTCAACTTAATCGCCTTCCAGTTCTCACACGGTTAAAGCCTGGTCAATTCTTTTTGCGAATTACGGCACAGTTCGGGACAGGGAACATGTCATTCACGGGAATGGCGCGAATTCTGGGACACCCTGTATATTTTGATTACAAATTTATCATGCTTGTCATAACTGTAAACCATCTGCAAGATTTCAGACCATTCGGTTTTGCAGATTCAAAATTAAATTGTAAAATGTTGTTTCATAACTTTGATTTTTTTTCCAAAAATCTGGACGTTTCGGGTAAAAACTCAATTCGGAGTCATAACTAACAATTTAAAACCCATTTACTATGTACAATTTTGAACTGACGTCATCGCATTAGTGGTGGGGATTAGACAAGTTTTGGTTAGCGTTTTACCATCTACATGATATTCCTAATATAAATACAAAATTTCGCAATAATCGGTCCAGTACTTTCGGAGATTATCTGTCTAATAAAAATCCGGGACGGCAGACAGACGGACAGACGGACAGACAGACGGAAACGGGAAACCTATTTCTTCGTCCTGTAGGGGTCATGAAAGGCCGAGAAAACGTAAAAGTAGAGAGTCGGCCGACAGACTCGATTACAATACTTCCTTTGCTTACGCTCGAGAAGTAAAAATTCGAATTCTAATCTTCAACTTTTCTAATAGAAGTTTATAGGACAGTAGAAAAATACTTTCAGTTCTATAGGTATACGTTTTTAATAATTTATAAATAGTGTGCAGTTGTGTCTCTAAAATCATGAATTATTTCTCCCAGAGCTTTTAAATA